TAGTAGTAGTAGTAGTAGTAGTAGTAGTAGTAGTAGTAGTAGTAGTATCAGCTAAGCCTCTGTAAAAGTTTTACTTCGAACCTCTACCACATCCTAGAGACAAAAGCTGCAGCCCCGTTGTTGTTTTTTTGACACCCCCTCAAAAGATGTTGTTGTCTCTACCCCACCTAGAAAGAACATCTGCAGCCCCGTTGTAAACAAGAAGCAGACCAACCAAGACTTGAGCACCGCAACGGCAAGAAGTCCAGCTACTAACATCTCTCCAAACCTTCAACCCTATCCCTAACAGCGTCCCTTCGAAATCCCTGACTTGCAACACGTGACAACTATGTTGGGCAGCTGGTTTTGTTTCTACCAACAACAACAGCAGCAACGACAACAACAACGGCTCTCCCCCGCGGAAACTTTTGGAATATATATGTTTTTTTCTTTTGTGGTTTATTTTCCATGATTTTTGATTTTCTGATTTTCTTTCGAGGGCACCCCAAGGAGAATTTTGTTTTTATCCTTTTTGTTTACCTTGAAACTTTGCAGACTGCATTTTTTTGGAGACCTGTAGCCCCAGGTTTGGGATCTGATGTCAGGCCCAAGTCTTGGAAGTTTGCACTTAAAACCACCAGGCCTAGGCCCTATACTGTATCCACCTCTGATCTTTGATTTCCTTTCAACTTCCTTGTTCTTCTTGATTCCCTTTAAAACGCCTTTTGACCTTAAATGATTTCCGGTTAGCACCATGTTGGTTCCAGACGGCTTGCGCGTAAACTCCTGTTGCGTTGGTTTGGTTCTTGTTGATATACTTTAAAGCCTTTTTGGTTTTTAATTGCTTTCCTTTTGATTTCCTTTTGATTCCAGTTGATTTCGTTTTGAAACCATTTTAATTCTGATTGTTTTCCTTGTGGTTTCACTTTGATTCCTTTTGAGCTCCTTTTGATTCCTCGGGGTTTTCGTTTAAATTAATTCAAGCACTTTTCGATTCAACGTGATATCATTTTAGATACCTTGTGATAACAGCTGTTTTCTTGCGAACTCTTTTTGACTTCCTTTGGGATTTGATTCCAGTTGATTTTTAATTGCTATCCTTTTCTATGTCTGTTGGTTCCCTCTAAGTTCCTCTTAATTCTTGTTCAACTTAGCCTGCTTTTATTTCCATGACTTGTATTAAACTTTTACTATATATTGATGTCAACTCCCTGATAAAATCTTTGCACTTGTTGCAAGGATCTATTACGCACAGTAGTGAATATGATAATCCACTATAACAATATCTGTCCCTTTTTGCTTTTGACAATTGCGCCTCCTGGAGTGATGCCTACGCTTTTCCATGTTTAAACAATATTGCCCTTTCAAACATTGTTTGCTCTTGGTTTGGGAAGTATGATTCTATTATTGATAGTACTCCCTGCAATAATGTCTACGCTTTTGATTTTTTCATCATTTGATTTCAATGTTAAACTCTTTTTTACTGTTAATTTCCTTTCAAATTCAATTTGCATTTGATTCCTAGTAGTTCCCTTGGAAACCCCTATTCCTTTTAAACCTTTTGTTTCCAACTAATTTTCGACAAACATGTGCGTAAAGCTTTACGATGTTTTTATATAAACGTCTAAAGGCAACTTTTACATTACCACCCACACCCGCTCTCGATATATATATATATATGTATAAGTATTTGCTTGTGTGACAAGCGGATAAGGTGACCATGGTGACCTCCCAGCACCCTGTTTGCAGTACCTATCGGCCATTGAAATTCGTTGATGTTTTCTCACAGGGATTCCCATGATCCAAATCCGTTGAAATTCCGTAGAAGGACATTTTTGCCCCACTCAACCCCAGAAACGCCTGCCCCAAGGAGCTCCGCGTTCCTTCCGACCCTCCGTCAAGACTGGGTTGGCGCCCGCCGACGCGAGCGCGCGGTTTCTCGGTGGTGCTGACGATCGACTTGGTCACGGCTCATTCGAACCTTCCGTCGCGACGAACATCGCTGGGGCGGCCGAGCGCTTTCGTGGCTCGTCGCTCTTTTCTCGCGCGCAGGCGCCATGCTGTTGCGGGCCCCATGCTGAGTGAAACACTAGAGGACCTCCAAGGACCGTTGCTTTTTCGCACTCCCCAAGCAGTGGGCTTGTGTTCAACTGTTCAACCATGTGGCCACCAATTGATTCATGGTTTCAGGGGGTTCGGTGGAGTTCTGGCCCGTGAACGACAACATTTTCCCTCTGAAACGGGTTTGGTGGAGTCTGACGGCACATACTTCAGGATTGCTGCTGTACTGTCAAAAGTCAACAGAATTACCATAAGTTCCAAAACATTCGAAGATATTCAATATGGATGAGCTGTTGGAAGGATTTTGCACAGATGTGTTAGGGTAAGTCCCAAATCATGGGGTGGCTGCCAGTCAGGGAGGGAGACCAAAGACTCAATTGACGACATCTCTTCATGTTTGGAGGGTGATTCTGGGTAGCCCGAAATTCACTGTGCCAGGTACATTGGCCAGAAGGTATTTGGAAAGGTGTTGCGTATTGCAGGAAGAAAGTTGGGCCAACTAATAGAAGTGGTTCCTTAATCCAAAAGAACCAAAAGAACTGTATATCTTCATATCAGGATAGCTGCATAGCCCTACAGTATATGTACTGTATATGATCTTTAAACACAGGTTCTCATCCTTTGGTGGAACAACAACCCTGGTTCGCTCCATATGGTTCCATATGGTGAAAGACCGAGGCACCGACCAATCCCAAAGAGGTTGACCCAATCCTTTGCAGGTCGTCCCCACCGTGCCCGGCGGAACAGGCCCGGCTACGCCACTGAGGCACGATGTCCTCGTGTGTGTCGGGTGAGGAGATGATCACACGAATTGAGGATGGTTCGCAAGTGGAAGAGACTCAGCTGATTTCGCACATGAAGCGTTTGAGGGTTTGTGGGGATTGACCGACTAGGGAGGCACAGGAGAGGTCGTTGGACATCCATTGGGTCAATGAAATTGAATCATGTCAAACCAAGTTAAGCGGTTTGGAGGGTTTTGCAGGATGTGCAACGTCGCTAGGACCTAGGAGCAGTAGGGTTTAACCTTTGCCCAAGCACCTACTGAATTGATAGTTGGATGGGTTTGCTGGAACACCCCACGTTCTGTTGGCTCAGGTAGCAGTGCCCTTGAACTCTGCTTTCTAGTGGGTTGAGAGTAGATGGCACAAATGTCCAAGTTTCGTGGTTTATATGGACCCATATGGACCCCCATCTTTTCAAGACCTCTTGGGGTGCCAGTCCTCTGAAACCAATGTATTTGCCCAGCTGGAGCTCTGTCTGTGCCGCGCCGGCAGACCGGACCTAGGCGCCGGTCGAGACCGGCCAACCGGTGCCAGTTGGGCCCGTCGGGGAGTCTGAGATGGTGTCCAAGAGCTCGCAGCGGGATTACAGTGGAGTGCCCAAAGAACTGGATTCTTGGCGACGAATTATGGTGAGGACAAGTATTATTTTTCTATATTTTTCTCTTAGATGGTGATGAAGTTGATAGACGGTAGACTGAGACTCTCTTGAAGATGGACATTCCTACTGGTGTCTGAAGCCAGCTTCATCAAGAAGGTAATCACATGTAATCACATTAAACAGTCCGCAATTACCAGCCTTCAACCGAGCCGTGGCGTAGAACTTGGAGTGGGAACCGCTGTTTCACTGTTTGAAGGACTTACTTCACCTTACTTTGAATTCTAGTTGCCAACATGTTAGGAATATATACAGAACACGTGTGACCTTGTATTGTGTATTATACGCATGGCATTCTGTACGCTTCCAAGGATTCCGAAGCTGTCCAATAGGTCTACATGGCAAGCCACCCCTCAGAGCCTGTCTATCCCGTTGAACCCCCAGATCTCACAAAAGGTGAAGCCTCTATCCCATCACCCCATCTGGATGTGATCCCTTACATAACCTTTTCCTTGAATCTTGGAATCAACGTCTGCCTTGCCGCCTGTGCGTCAGCATCGTACAGGCGGCACTGGATCACTGGTGTTTACCATGAACCCGACCCACTCCCGGCGTCACGGGCGGGTCCAGACGCCCGAGGATGCCCAGTTCGAGCGCTTCGGCAGCTCCTTGCGACCCACCATCATCACGCCCGGCAGCAGCTGGAGCAAACGCTCGCAGCCAGGGGTCCTGGGCGCGCGGAAGGCGGAGACCCTGAAGGCCGAGGAGCAAAAACGCGACGCCTGGCTTGGTGGTTTGAACGGACATGCTCCAGGAGAGAGCAAGAACAACGATTCGGGGGCGGGTTTGGAGGAGCCCGGTCGTTGCGGCACGGGTCGTTGTGGATATTTTTGTTGGATGTTTTGGGAGAGGAGGAAGCTTGCGCCACTGCATGTTGCCTTCAACCTTCTCTTTTCTTTTCCAGGGTTGCGTGAGACTTTTGGGTTGCGAAGAAGTCCCGAGCTTTGGATGTGCAGGGAAGTCTACAAGAGCCATGTGCAGGGAAGTCCACAAGAGCCACAAGAGCCATGCCTTTGTTTTTGTGAATCCCTGCATTTTCACTTGATGTGATCCTAGGTGTGACACACACCACTTAGCACCAACAAACGCTGTTCATGGCTCAAGAAAAGCATCGTCCGTTTTTGGAAACTCAGGTTATGAGCCCAACGACCTGTTTTTCCCTTTGAAGTCCACCCCTGTGGATCAGGGTCGTTGGCCGCCATGAGCGACTTCGTGCGGCAGCGGCGGAGACGATCCTCCCGCGAAGGAGAGCGTCTCCATGATCCTGGAGATCGGGAGGGTCGGCTTCGAGTGGGGGCGGCGGATGAGCGCCTGCAAGCGCTGCTGGAGGAGCGAGAAGGCAGAGCGGCATCGGTGCCGGCGAGGACGGCAGCGGTTAGAAGGCTGGCTGCAGCTCCGGAACAGGGTGGGCAAGCGGCAACTACATCCTCGGTGAGAAGGCCGAGCAGAGAACCACAAGGTCGGGTGGCTCAGCCAAATGGGCCAGGACAAGTCACGGCTGAGTCAGCACCGGGACTGCTGGACTCGGTCAGGCAGTCCTTAGATGTTTTGCAGCGAGCCTTTGGTGGAAATCCTCAAGGTCAAGGGCTACTTGCACCCCTACTTCAACACCACGATCTGGGACATCTAGCCGGTACCGGTCCTGGAGTTCATGCTGGGCATGGGAGTGTCTTTGGATCGCCGCAGTGTCCAATTCCACCCCGAGGAGGACCTTTGAGCTATGGCCCCACGATGGAATTGGGACCACAACCGAGGGTTCTGGAACCTTATCCCATGGCTACCCCTCCCCCAATGAGTGGGGTGAATGTCAACCCTTTTTGGAGCACACAAGCACGAGCTCATCCTAGTGAAAGTGGGGTGGTGCCTGAGGGGATGCTGCAAGGGGAAGTCAGAAGGTCGCCAAACTATGTTGATGTGGAGGCCATCAGGGAGAAGGTACTCAGGGAAGCCGAGAATCTCTTTGCAAAGGAGATCAAGAAGGCCACTGGTGGAGCAGAGTCATCATCCTTCGAGTCGGTGCCAAGTGCTGACCGAGAGCCTGGGCGGTCAACGGTCAGGGTGATGGGACCGGGCGGAGGAGGCAACGGGGGTGAATCGACTCGTGGCGATGGCCGAGGGTCTCAACCACATGGTCTTGAGCGTCCACCAGGGTTGCTGAAGGAGGGTGTGTGTGAGGGTCCGTTGAACAGGTCTGAACCGCCTCAGGGGACCGTGAATGAAGTGTTTAGAAGCTTGGAGTTACCACCTCTACCATCTCCTGGCAGCGATGGTGCTTCGCTGGCTTTCGGCGATTGGCTGACGGTGGCAATGCCTCTTATGTCGGACCTGTCATCCTCTGCGAGGGGTTGGTGGCAAGCAAACGTCATGGAGGCGGAGGCGCTGTATGAGACTTGGCTGAAGCTGAAGCCGCTGGAGAGGCTAAGGCTTAAGGTTGATCGGCCTTTGCACCCCAGTTATGAACGAGTTGAGCACCGGGGAGTGACTATCCTATTGGGGGTTCTTCCCGATCAAGTTCGAAGGGATGTCATCGCCTCTAGAAAGGTGAGCTGCCTCGGAATTCTGTTTCGGCTGTACACCATTTTTCAACCAGGGGGTTCAGCTGAGAGAACTGCGCTCCTCAAGAGCATCACCGAGCTGAAGGTGGGCAATGGGGTGGCAGACGTTTTGTCTGGAATTCGCCAATGGAGGCGATGGATCCAGCGTGCACAGGAGTTGGGCCTGACTACACCGGACCCTTTGGTGCTGGTGCAAGTGCTGAACAGGGTCACAGAAGCCCTGGGTCGACATGGTGGCGCTCAGGTCTCATTCAGAATGGCAACAGCAAGGCAAGATCTTGCAGTGGATCAGTGTCCGACGATGGAATCCATCATGGAGTATGCAGAGTATGTGCAGGCGGAGGCTGAGGATCTGGCGCTGATGACTGGCTCTTCAAAGACGCCTGCAGCAGGTGCGAATGTGAACATGTCCACAGCTGGAGGGACAGCTCCAAAAGTGGCGGCATTCAACACCACGAGCTCCACAGAAGAGAAGCAAAAGGCCTCTTGCAAGTTCTGGGGGTCTGCTCAGGGCTGCAGGAGGGGGGATCAATGCACCTATGGGCATTCGTGGGAAGGCATCAACAAGCAGAATCGGTGTTTTGTTTGCAGCGGTGAAGGGCACATGTCGCGAGAGTGTCCCACTCGACGTGAACGAGATCAAAAGGATTCAAAGAAGGTGGCAAAGGTGAAGAATCCTATGCCCACCAAGGAGTCGCCAGTAAGTGACCTGGAAGCTCCAGATAAGCCGAAGGAGGAGAACGCCACTACGACTTCTTCCCAACAGACTTCGGGGTCCTTGAAGAGCACGCAGGTGTCAAGGAGTCGGGAGGGGAGAAGGTTGCAGGTGGTGGAGAAGCTTCGGCGGGGAGTGCAGAGTCGGCGACGGCATTGATAGCAGAAGCTACAAGTTTGCTCAAATCATTGAGAGCGCTCAAGGCTTGCAGGCTGAGGCAGATTTGCAGGATACAGCCTGATGCCGAGAGGGAGGGCGAAGTGGCCTTGTTGGATGGAGGTGCGACTCATCCACTGAGGATGGCGGAGGTCGGGGAGAAGGACCACCTTATTCCGGTTCAGGTGGAGCTTGCTCATGGGTCGACCACGCTGTTTCGAAAGGAGGGATGCAGCACATTGCTGTCTTTAGACGAGGTTGAGCCGATCATTCCATTGAGCTTGTTGGTACAACATGGCTTTCGGATTGACTGGTCGGCGAATGGATGCACAATCAACCATCCTCGGCAAGGGCCGATACTATGTTGGCTCCGGGGGGGTTGTCCAGTGATGAAAAGGACTGCAGCTCTTGCGATGCTCAAGGAGTTTGAGGAGCTGGAAAGGGGGCACTACAGCATCACGGCTGAGGATGCTCAGTGGTGGGAGGAGAACATCCCTGGGGTCCCGGGGGAGCTGTTGGAGTTCATGAAGGGCCAGTCATGGTGTCCGGCGGGAGATGATCTTCCATGGAACCGGAGGCAGAGGAGAATGCATCAGACTTCAAAGGGAATCATTGTGCACCTGTTCTCCGGCACCAATGTGAAGAGGTGGAAGGACTCGCTGCCCTCTGGGTACACCTGGCTGTTCGTGGACCCGCTCCTTGGGTCGAGGTATGATCTCCACTCGCCTCAAGTGTGGGGATATTTGTGCTGGTTGGCCAAGCAGGGCCGAATCAAGGCAGTTTTGGGAGGTCCTCCATGCAGAACAGTCAGCAGGTTGCGGAATCGTGGGCCACCTGGACCTCGCAAAGTCAGAGCAAGAGGTGATCTGAGGTGGGGGTTGGAGGATCTAACTCCTAAGGAGGCTCAGATGGTCGCGAACGACACCACGCTGGTTCTCAAGCAGGTTGCACTTTGGAAGCTGGCCAAACAGGGACAGCAGATGGGCCGATTGACAGGCTTCTTGCTGGAGTCGCCAAGGGATCCAGCATCCTATTTGGAGTCGGAGGAGGATCGGCAGAATCCATCTTATTTTGAGTGGCCTCAACTGCAACAGCTGTTGGAGGAAGATGAGACTATGAGGATGATCAACTTCGACCAGGGAGCGACAGGTCATCCACGGAGGAAGCCGACGGGGGTGTTGTCGAACTTGCCCATGCTGGAGCAGCTGGAACTATGCCAAGGAGGAGGAAACACCAACCCAGTCGGAGGGGATTTGAGTCAGAGGATGGCAGCATCGAGAAGCTGGTCAGAATGGTCACCGGGCTTTGTCAAGGCTATCCAGCTGGCATTGAGGAGTATGCTTGAGGAGGATGAGAACTGCAAGGTGGCGCGATTGGATGTGGACCAATGGCGGCGACACGTGCGGATGCAGCACATGCCCTTCAGGCGGGACTGCAGAACCTGTCTGGAAGCAATGGGCACGCAAAATCCACATCGGAGATCCAGGACAGCGTCTTCTGCGTACACCTTGGCGGTGGACATCATTGGACCATTCCCGGTGGGGAAGGATCCTGCAACTGGAAGAATGGCCAAGTACGCTTTGTTGGGAACGGTGCCGGTGCCGGACCATCTCCCGGGGGAACCGGCTGAAGAAGAGGATCTCACTGAGGAGCAGGTGAGGGATGTGCCATCTTTGGATCAAGAGGACCTCGAGGAGGAAAACCTAGAACGTGATGGCCGTCAAGATCCACCAGAGTTAGAAGATCAGCAGTTGGTTGAGGAGGGTGAGGAGCAGGTGATTGGTCGGGAGGAGATCGATGAGCTTCGGAGGCCCCATCAGCTGCAGAACATTACAATGGTGGAGGTGATGGAAGACAGAGGTGTGGATTCGCTCCTGGGAGGCCTGTCCCGACTCTATGCGAGGATCAGGTGTCTGGGCATCAATGTGATGAGACTACATAGCGACCGGGAGAAGGGCATGCTGTCGAGGAGGGTGTCAAATTGGTGCGGCCACAGACACCTGGTACAGACCTTCACGCAGGGCGACGATCCACAGGCCAATGGCCGTGCAGAGGCAGAAGTGCAACAAGTTAAGAGACGCATGAGGCTGATCATCCATCAGGCACAAGTGGAACCAGAACTGTGGCCAGGAGCGATTCGCCATGCGGCAGAGGAGAGATGCAGACAGCAGCTCAGTAGACTAGGGGTTCCGGTGCAACCAATGCTACGGTTTGGGTCGAAGGTGGCAGTTCGCACGAAGAGATGGCACAAGGCTGGTCAGTTGATCAACCCGTTCATCTCTATGCAGCTGGTTGGTCCAAGCCCACTGATGACAAACGGGTGGGTGGTTCGCCATCAAGGTCGTGTTCAACACGTTCGAACGGCTCTACAGCCATCTCCAGAAGCGGACCAAGCGGCTCTCGAGCTCCAGGAGATTGATGCAGACACCGTTCGCAGGAGAGTGACTGGAAAACAAAGTTTGGATCCTCACCCATTGCAGGACGTGATCTCACACATGTATGAGGAGGTGCAGCCTGCACAACAACCAGCCCTGTCCGCGTTGTCCAACTTCAGGACAGGGGGGGGGACAGATCGAGATCCAGGAGCTGGCCTGCAGGTCGAAAGCAACGGAAGCGGTGGAGGGTCGGCAGAAGGTATGGTGAAGTGCCTCGAGTGCGATCTTTGGCAACTGGGGGAACATCGAGGAGCTGGATGTCGATTTTGTGAAGGAGATCTGCCGAAGGAGCAGGATGGGCTGCAGGTTCCGGGGGAGGAAGCTTTGGATTTGCAAGCCTGTTCATGGACTCAGGCAGTACAGTGGCATGAGGAAGAAGTTCGTAGCCACTGGCAGTTGAAAAGAATGTGGCTGGATCAGTTGAATCAGGTGGCGGTGGGAGAACAGCAGGGCAGCGAACATGGAGGATGGCTTCAAGTCCTGGAAGAACAGTTGATGGTCCGGGAGGAGTGTCTTCAACGCCAACATGGAGCCCTGGAGAGTTGGAGGATGGCGGCGCTGCAGGCGGCGGGGGGTTCAGGAGAAGGGGAAGAGCAGAAGCCTTCGCTGGTCCTTCAGACCTACACGGTGTCGCTGGCCCAGGTGCGAAGGGAGTTGCACAAGTGGGTCGAACCCTTCAAGGATGAGTATGTCTCTCTGTCCACTACTACCGGAGCGATCGTTCCAACCACAGAGGAGGCTTTGAAGAAGGATCCGAGATATCCCTGGCGGGAAGAAGCGCCAGCGATGCTGGTCCCTACGGTCAAGAGTCCTCATGGACGGCACAGGGCAAGGGTGGTCATTTGTGGCAACCATCTCACAAAGTCCCAGGTGGAGACGAAGGCTGTCAGTCCATTGGAAGCATCATCGACCTCTTCACCCTTTGAACTATATGCAGGAGGGGCGGATGCGACAGTTTTGCGAGCTTTACTCAGGAAGAGTGCCCTGGAGAAATGGTCCGTAGCGAGTCTGGACGTGAAGACAGCGTTCTTGCTAGCTCCAAGAAGAGATGCACAGCAGAGGCTGCTCATTACGCGTCCTCCCCGGGTGCTGGTGGAAGCAAAGGTGTGCGCTGCTGACGAAATCTGGGAGGTCAGAAACTCGCTCTACGGTCTCCAGGAGGCGCCTCTCAACTGGGCGAGATTCAGGGACGAAGAGATGGCCAAGCTCCGCTGGACTGATGAAGGTGAAAACTGGAAGCTGGCTCGCACTCAAGAGCCCAACTTGTGGAAGGTGATCCTCGATGATCCATCCAAGTCAAGGTTGCCCGACAAGGTGTACGGATTTGTCGCTGTGTACGTCGATGATATCCTGGTGACTGGTGATGAAAGAGTGACTCGATCGACCATCGCTCGGTTCCAGCAACAGTGGAAATGCTCGACACCGGAGTGGCTGACGCCTGAAAGCAGCTTGAGGTTTTGTGGCTTTGAGATTGCCCAGGAGAAGAGGGGACTTCGTTTGCATCAGGAGTCATACCTACGAGATCTTTTGGCCAGATATCCTGATGTCAAGTCAGCTCAAAGCCCGCTGCCAGGTGTCTTGGATGAGACTGAGGAGACGAATCCTGAGGTTGCAGAGGTCCGAAGGGCGCAAACCTTGGTTGGAGAGTTGTTGTGGCTGGCAGTGAGGTCGAGGCCAGACATCTCCTTCGCCGTGTCGTGGATGGGGAGGCAGGTGACACATTGTCCATGTCGAGTCCAACGATATGGAGCGCAGGTCCTGGGGTTCTTGCAAAGCACCATGGGTTTGGGCCTGTTGTATGAAGCTGCACCTGATGAACCCCAGTGGGAAGAGAGCAAGGGCATTCACATGTATTCGGATGCTTCATTCGGCCCCCCTGGATCTCGCGGTCACCAAGGCCTTATAGCCATGTACTCAGGTGCTCCTATACAGTGGGAAAGCAAACAGCAGCCCTTTGGCACCCTATCTAGCTCAGAAGCAGAGCTCATGGGGTATTCTGATGCCTTAACCATGGGTGAGTCGTGCGCCTCAATCGTTGCGATTTTGGAAAGTGGTGATGCGAATGAGGTCATGGACTGCGTCCTACATGGTGACTCGCAGTCTGGCATCCGCATTTTGCAGTCGCCGGATGGCCCATGGCGGACGAGACATCTTAGGCTGCGAAGCTTTGTGTTGCGGGAGAGAATCCGCACGGGATGCTGGCAGGCACGTCACGAGCCGGGAGCATCGTTGTCGGTGGACCTATTGACAAAGTCCATCGTCAGTCCGCCTTCGTGGAGGAGGTTCCGGGAGTTCACTGGCTTGTGTGCTGGAGCCACCCAGGCGAAGGAAGCGGAGGACTGTGTGCAGGTCAAGAGGCTGATCGGGCTTCTGAGCGGGCTGATAGGCATTTCATGTTGGCAGCCAGTCAATGCGGTTGCCAAGGTTGCCAAAAGTGTGACCATTGCAGCGGTAGCTTCAAGTGTAGCTTGGCTGATGGGTAGGAAGGGTGGAGATGACCCCAAAAGAGAGGGTGAACCGGCATTTGCTCGGACAGGGGCGTCCAAAGAGGGCAATGTCGAAAGAAGAAAATGTCAAGAAGAGACAAGGGAAAATGAACCTGTCTCCAAACCCGGTCGCGACTTTAGCCCAAAGGGCTCCCCGGGCGGTGCATCCGCGTGCGAGCCATGGATTCGGCAGCTTCCGCGGGTGAGTGCTTTGAGGGCACCAATCACCCATGTGGGACTTGGCACGGATCTTCCATGGGAGCTGATGAGGTTTAGTACGCCGCCTACTGGAACAGACAGGTGGGAATGTCTTGGTGTGGGCCTCGGTGGTGGTGAATGGTGGGTCAGGGTGCTGAAGAAGTCCCGAGTGCGAACCTTCCATCCATTACATCGTGGAACCCCAATGTCGATAGCAAGACTCTCGGCGACCAGAGTCACGGTGGCTTTTTCGCGGGGAAATCCGCGAGAAGTTTGGAAGCGAGTGGTCATCACCGATGACTGGATCGAAAACAGGGGCTCAGATGTGGAAGGGCTTCATGAATGGTGTGGCTACACTTTCTTCTACGTGAAGTTTGAGGCCCTCCCAGAAGGAAGAGCAGGAAATCTCGACCGACGTGATGTCAGGCCGGGACCACTTCCTCCACCGGGATCGGTGGCCGCAGACGGGGGCTATGGCGGCTCCATTTCAGGAAGGTCAAGAGCAGTGCAACGAGGTCGAAAGGCCTTACAAGGTTCAGAGACGATAGAAGGCGAGGAAGTCACCTACGGTGGAAGGGGCATCAGTGCTTGTGACATTGAGTCCATCGAGGGTGGCACGAAGACGGGCTATGAGCTAAGGCTCCAAGGACGTGAGCATCGGGGGGAGAGCGGAAACAACTCCGGCCAGGTGACGGAAGGGACGTCCCAAGCGGCCAATTCAAGCGAACACGTGCCTCCCGAAGCTGACCAATGGCCAATTTGGCTTGGAATTGAGACGGCAGTTCAACAACATCCTCACCGTGATGGTGAACGACAAGACGAGGACTGTGAGTCGGACGGAAGCTTTGAGTTTCTGCGCAGCACTGGATGAAAAAACCTGGTGCTGACGCGTGTTTGAATGATGGTACAACCATCAGGGGGAGTGTGAATCCCTGCATTTTCACTTGATGTGATCCTAGGTGTGACACACACCACTTAGCACCAACAAACGCTGTTCATGGCTCAAGAAAAGCATCGTCCGTTTTTGGAAACTCAGTTTTAAACGGAGATCTTCCTTGGACTTTTCAGGGTCCAACATCTTTCGTCCTTGGCGATCGGAGCGCACCGCGGGCTTGGCTGATCATCCATGGATCGGCAGGGCTCCGATTGGCGCAGTCAGGTCGGTCTGTGGCAGATTGAAGAGATCGTAGAAAGGAGGATTCACTTCTGGAGGATGTAGCGCAAAGGGTGTTACAACGCTCCTTCTGGAGACCCCCCATCTTCTTGGAAGTCCAGCCTAATGGCTTATTGAACAAACGACTGTACTTTTGGGGCTCCTTCAGTCTGAAGCATTGCATGTTTCTCCACACCATGACCTGACTCCCGTTGAGTCCCTTTTTGAGTCTCGTGGACATCAATGGATTCAACCTCAGAGCGATGGCCTCCATTCTAGTAGTGATGGCCTCGAACCCAAGAGCGATGGCCTCCAACCTAATAGCAATTAGCAATGACATCAATGGATTCAATGTATCTGAGGAGAAGGACAGTGCCTTTGACCTCCTTGATGCCTTGACACGCTCGGGCGCGCTGCCTCTGAGCCATGCAGAGATGCACATTGTGGTGGCCGCCACACAGATCTTCGAGAAGACCGTCATGGAAACTGTGATTCAGGAGCGAAACGGTATGACCATGATCAGCGTCATTAATTTGGACAAAACGGATGAACGTATTTGGGGAGGACTGATAGAGTCTGATAGAGGTTTGGCCGATTTGCTATGAGCATTTGTATGAGGAGATGTGTCACATATGATTTCTTGGATGACAACATGAACTCTGCGACTGCACTACACAGTATGTGTTCATTCTGATTGCTAACGTAGGTGAGCTACTTAGAAGGAGCAAAATTCCACTGGCAAAACTCCACTGAGGTGGTCCCCGCTGCAGTGACAGGGCATTTTCATCAATTCTCCTCCAAATGAGATGATGTTCATGAAAAAAAGGATCCCATACATGTTCCTCCAAGATTTTCCCAACTTTGAGGCAAATCTGAAAGCTCGAGGTCCTTGGGTTTTGGGCGACCAGGCTGCGACCGCGCCCCAAAACCGTCGGTGGGACCCGCGAACCCCACCGTCGTGAACGCCTTCAGGAGAACACAAACCCCATCGCTGAAGTGGAACGCTCCAGTCTGGTGATTGTGTCCACCATCCATGAGAGGCCGGCCAGAGCATTAATTCAAGACGCCTGTCGCATGCGGGTAGCTGCTGGCTGCTCGGAGCTCATGGACGGGTGATGTGAGGCGTACACGCCTTCCAGGTGGATTAGTAATCCCTCGAACCCCCAGAAACATCCGCGTCTCGAAACGCCTGACTTGAGCCTCAACTACGGTTTTGCCATGTTTTGAAATGGGATGCAACAGGACCTGCGTCCAAGACGCTATCGCGGGGTGTGCAAGAGCCGAACACCGACAGTTGTACAGTGATAGGTGTGCAAGGCCGCCAGTGAGGGAAAGTCCGATTGGCGGGGTTGGCGGGTGGAATGGGTGGGAGAAGAACATGGTTTCCACATGTTTCGTTTGGGCTACGGCGGCTAAGGTGAATCACTTGTCCGTTGTACCCGGACAAGTCAGGGACACTGTTTTGACGTGAGATGTTTTAACATGCTGATTGCCGCAGGAGCTGTGCAGGTTCACAAACACCAAGTTGTATTAACGTTTGGAGTATGTTTTCCATATTTGTCTATCAGTGAAGAACTTTTATGTACGTATATAACTTAATATCTAGTTTCTTCTTTTGAGAATATGTTTGTCAACCAAGGATTCTTTGGGGTCAACGTCCTAAAACACTGATCTGAGGTAGTGGCGCCAGCAGATGGTGACCAACATGTTCCGTATTCATAAGGAACTCTAGATGTGATTCTCTGTGGAACCTCAGTAGACATTCCATTGCTAGGTTTGTTAGGGTCCATGTCTTACTCACCCTGCAGGGAAAGATACAATTTGGCCATGTCGAAGAGACAGCTCTCAGGTGATTCATCACCCGAACAGAGACGATACAGTAGTATGTTTTTGTATTGACAACAGACGGACGCCCAGCTCTAAAGTTTTGCCAGGGGCGGTTTATTCTTTGGCCCCCTTAATTAACCGCACGGAAAGATGGTGAGTGTGTCTCAACAGAAACCACCCATTCACTCGGTGAGGGGTTCCCACGTGTTTCGACATCTTCAATCGCACAGCTTTTCAGGTTTTCGGGGAGCCCTGCTGAGCAGCTGGCCGGGAACCCTGGTTTTCGGTAGCTCAGGAAGGGCCGCTCCATATGGGTGTGACCCCATCTGCAAAAAGGACAGGGATGTGCAGGTGGTTAATTATGTTTTCCATCTACCAGTGTTTTTTTTGGGGGGTGATCAGTTTTTGAGTGAGGTAATTACTCGTAACAGCTATATTTGGAATAGATTAATGCAATACTATTGTAGACCCAGATTGAACATATACATATATATATAGAGAGACAGAGAGAGAGAGAGTGAGAGAGCGAGCGTGCACTTTTGCTCCTATTGGCAGGGATGGTGGAACACAATCCAATCAAGGCTCCTTAAATGGCAGACACAATGTTCGTGCTGTGCATGAGGCGAATCTCTGTGCTTCTACAATTCTGGAGAGCAAGGGTAACGTGCTTCTTGTAGAGCCTGGCCAGGCAGTCAACCAGATAGGCACAGACTCCATACTGATGCTTTTGAATGGGGTACTTCCATGTTATCGATGAACTGAATCCACCATGGACATCGCTGAGATATCTAAACCAGCGGAGAAATCCGTTGCCTTAGGTTGCCTGGCGCCTTTTAGCGGATGTTTGGCCTATCAAAAACTCAGCATGTTCTATATATATACAGATACACCTTTCTTTCAAGGAATGAGTACAGTGCATTCACAGGGAACCACAAGGACGAGACCCTACAAGGACCTGTACCAGGTCCAGCAGCATTAGCGTGGGACCCGCTTAGACCACCGAAACCGCCTCTCCGGAAACCGCCCCGAAAACGCTTCCCGACCCTTTCGAGCCACCGGACCGGACGTGTCCCCAAGGCCTCCTTGAAGGACTTGCAGTCCTTGGCCGTGACGCCTGAGCTGGCGCGGGACGATGGGTGGGTCGGTCTGGGTCAAACGACCTCCCGGAGAGGTCGTGACTGGGAACACTGCTGGGTCCTTTTGGAAGAAGGGGGATGGATCTCTTGGTGTGACCCTGGGCATATCAAGATAGTGATCGTCGGCATATTGGTCACGACATATATATATACACTTGATGTACAATATATTCACACAGGACTCTTGGACTCGTCAAATAGTTGCATAAGGCCCTAATTACTGATTAACTCTGGAGTAATCATAGTGATTTGAACTCTGGGCTTATGATGGGAGATGGACACCAGTCGAGAAGACCGGAGCATGTGGATCATGTGCGAACGGGGAACCGTTCGATGTGGGCGGGTGGGTGGAGTCGGAGTGTCGTGCTGAAAAGGAGAGTAGTGTTGTCCCATTCTTTGGAAGCTGGGCACGAAAAGTGCACCCAAAGTTATACTTCTCAAGCATCTTTTGAGTCTTTTTTTGGAGGAGCACTGGGCCACTGGGGTCTGACAATTACTGGTTGAATGCATGCAGATCCCTTTTCAGTGATCGACTGCAGGTGGCGGAGGCCGACGTAGAGACAGCGAAGATTTAGTATAAATGGTCCATGAAAGGCTTCCTGATCACCTTAGGCTCGTGATGTCACTCCCAAGATGTAGCTAGCTAGCCGCTAGCTGAAGCTAGGTCACACGAGAGTCTTCTCCTGGACATGGATGAGTACATGGATGTTGCTTGTGACCGAACTCTTCGCACGGTGTGAAACACATCGAGCCTTTGAAGATCCAACTGCCCCACTTCTCGTCACCTTGTGGCGGAGTGGTGGGACTTCCGGGTCGCGACCCTCTCAAAAATGGACACCACTTTCACCTCTTGACCGGAACTAGACGCCCCAAGGTTTGGATGTTTCGCTTCACTTGGTGCAACTGCCCCCCAAATACTTCGGCAGCCGGAGGCCTCGTTGCTCATCCACGAGGACACCTTGGGCACGGAGCCTCAGACCGGTGTGACCGGCCATTGGTCGGTGGTGTGGCCACGGATCCGAATGAGGTATTACATGCAATTCATTGTCCTATAGCTAGTGTTTTTGGTTTGAACATGTTTGAACATATTTGAAACATTTTGAAACACATATCAGGAGCTTTGAAACTCCTAAGATTAAGAACATGCTCTTTGGACACCTGGTAAACTGAAAGTGGGCATGGACTTAAAAACCCTGGTCCAGTCCTTTCATATCAAAAGTGTGGGAGTGTTTGGGTTGAATCCTCCCAAAGCACATGTCTTGTATAGTGACAGTGACAGTCCAATCTTTCAAGTGACGTCGCTTTGGCGCACGCATTGTTCAACTTTTGTCAGTCACCAAAGCTTTTAGGCGAACCTCCAGTGTGGACACACCCTTCCCACGTTGACCCGCTCCAGCTCAGGTGTGGCCACGAAGATTACTGGCAAGCAGAGCGTTCACTTCACCAATGAGGCCATGGGGCCTTTGAGTCCGATGACGTTTCGGATGGATTTGGTTCCAAGTTCTCTCGAATTTGGTGTTTGAAACAGTCCCGGGCTGCAATAGTCTATCCGAGTCTCCAATGGAAGCCCACGCAAGAACAGCAGGAAGGTGACCCCAGGTCGAAAGTGCTAGGCGACTGGGCGACAGGCTTGTCAAGTGGGGATTCCTGATGTTTCAACAGTCTGATGGAGTCGGGTTGGTCCAGCAGGCCGTCATTTTCTGGATGAGGAGACGGTTCTGTGGCACTTGAAAAAAGCGCTTTCCAAAGATGCTGATGGACGAGCTGTGTGTTCCTTCTATTCCTTCGCTTCTGGGAACCCTCCCCTCCTTGCAGTGGCACGGTGCCGCTCCGAAGGTGTCGAGACGATAGGAAAAGACCCACGATCCGAAGGGTCCGAAGGGTCCTTGGATCGCCGTGAAAAGAGGGCCTTTTTCTTTCCACGAAGCTTTTCTATTTAAATCTATTTCCATTTCTATGTTAGTGAATCGGAGTGTACCATCTTCTGCCATGGTTGAGAGTTGAGACCGATCACGATGTCGAGACAAAGAGATTCGCATAGAGTGGCTGCCTTTGCGGTACATCCAAGGAAACCCACTTGTTCTCCGGAAAATTGTGGGTCAAAGACCCAGAGAAGACCAACGCGTTGCTTGTTTTAGTCATTTCCCTTCCATTAGAATATAGAGGCCATCACTTTTTCACATCACCTCACAGTTTGGTTCGCTTTATGATTTTTTCTTATGTCTATTTCATGCATGTTCGTTTGCTCCAGGCCCTACTTTCAACCTGATCTTGGGGCAGTCTCTAGGGTACAGCAAGGAGCCCTAAGAGGCCATGGATTCGACTCCCCTCGGTGGGGCGATCGCCGTTTGGGCGCAACCGGGCGCGGGTCTGTCCGACGGCGCAGGTCATGGCCGAAGCTTCACTGCTCGTCATGACGCTCTTGAGTTCGAAACCGAAGGATGAGTGGAGAAGAGAACGGGTTGGAAGACGACGGTCGGCGTGAACAGGAGTAGTTCGTTCCAAACACCGATTTCCCTTCCAAGAATGCATTTTCGTTACTGATCCTTCAAACACCCTCCAAGTATAAGCAAATGCACCCAGGAGTGCCACGAGAGGGTTTGGTGGATCCATCCTGTTTGTGGGGGTTACACCATGTTTATATAATCAGCCCACACTTGCGAACAAGCATCTCTTTGTTTCTGAACTGCACCTTGCTTTTTTTTGTGCGTTGGGAGACGTTTGGCCCCGCGTTGTTGATCTACACTTAGCTGAGATTCATTTCCTCATGAGTTGCCTCTTGACTCGTAGTAGTCTTAACCTTCAAAACATGTTGATCTGTGATTGAGGTCAAGGTGTTGGACAAGCAGGTCTAGGATCACTGCGATCAACTGCTCAGGTTCTTGTATGACATTCGGCTCTCTAAGCAGAGTATGATCATGTATGATCTGATTTTTCCGCTCCCACAAGACTGACAAGACAAAAAGCAGTAAAAGAGGTTGGACGACTGACCTGCTGAGTTTCAATTGCCACTCTGACGACTGGTGGCAGCTCTCACCCCGCCAAGCCGTCTGGGTTCCCAGGCCACAACTTTCACCTGAGCTGTGAGCATCCCAAGTTCGGAGCACCCAGTGACTCACAGGGTCGAGGCAAATAGGTCGTGCTGGGTCATGCTGACATATGCTGACTCATCCTGGTTTTGCTTATGGGTGAATCCCCCAGAACTGGGGAAGATGCGGTGTTTTTGCTTGGCTTCCTGGATATCAAATCCAAGAACAAGGCCTGAGGGCCCAAGAATCCTGGAGGATTTTGGAGGTCTCCCAGGTGGGTCAAAGCAGGGGATTTTCAGGCCCCTCGGCCACTGTCGGCCGGCGACTGTTGCTTCAGACTAC